ATTCAATCACTGAATCAGGTGTGTTGGAGCTGGAAAACCTCTAAAACATGCAGGATAGCGGCCCTCGAGGACTGGAGTTTGACATCCCTGCTGTAGAGCGTGCAGTTGGGGTCTGTAAAAAGGTGRTGAGTGCCTTCTCCAACTCCTGGAAGAGAAAACGTGACTTGRCCAAGGCTCAGGCAGTGCTGGGCTTGCCTCCCCATCAGCTCATCACTGAAACCCCCACAAGATGGGGTTCACGGCAGCAGATGATCGAGAAGTTCCTAGAGCAGGAGAAAGCGCTGTCACAGGTCCTCCTTGCAGACAAGAAGGTGAGACATGGACACTAGACATTACACACAGATTCTTTTCATTGTGGATTCTGATTACGTTTGCAGCCAAGATTCACATCCTGATGAAAGTAACCTATTTTCTTTGCTATCTCACTTAGGCAAGAAGTTTGGTGCCAAGCTGGCAAGACATGATGGTGCTAGAGTCCATGAACAAGGCACTGGGTCCACTGTTCCGAGTTTATTGATGCTTTGTCCGGAGAGAAGTATGTCACTGTATCTTTTCTGAAACCAGTACTGCACCTCTTTAATAATGAAATCCTCAGCCTGAAGGATGGGGACACAGAGCTCACAAAAGCAATCAAAGAGGGTATCCTTAAGTACCTCAATGAAAAGTATGATGATGATGCCACCAACAACCTTCTAGACATGGCGACACTTATCGACCCGCGGTTTAAGACAGACTACATGAAGGAAGAGAGGGTGGAGTTCATAAAGATGAGAGCTGCAGCAGAGCTCATAGACATCTTGACACCAGCACCACCTGTAAGTGCAGAAACAGCAGCCACCTCCATTTCATCACCAGCTGCTGAAGATGATCCAGAGCTTCCTTGTCCAACAAAAAAAACAAAAAACAAAGAAGAGTTTAGGTAGCTACTTCAAAAAGTCATTAGCAGCAGGCCAAGGCACCACCCATGCTCAGCCAAGCAGAGCATCCATTGAACTGGAGCTCTCCATGTATCTTCAGGCACCCGGGCTTGACTCTGAGACTAACCCTCTTGAATGGTGGAGGCAGCACGAGCTGAACTTCCCATTTATGGCTAGGCTTGCCAAGAAGTACTTATGCGTTCCTGCTACTAATTCTTCATCTGAACGGGCCTTCAGTGAAAGCGGGAACATTGTCACATGTAAGAGGTCATGTCTTAAGCCAGATAGTTGACCAACTTGTCTTCCTTGCACTCAACTTATAAACTTAACAGAAACTATATTTCTACTTCTACAAAGCAGCCTTTTGTGTTTGCACTTTTTTGATGGTTCATGCCTTAGAGTTATGCTCAACTTTGATATTTACTTTTAATMCTTTGTTGCTGCTAGTATGGTTTGCAAACTTTGCACTAAGGTTACATATTTCAGAAACTTGAAAAAATGTTTGTTTTTATAACTAGGTTTTGTGCAAAAATATGTGCTTTTCTGTTCAGAAGCGCCAGAAACTTGGAATCTGCTCTTTAAAAAACATTTTTTCTACTTCTACAAAGTAGCCGTTTGTGTTTGCACTTTTTTGATGGTTTATGCCTTAAACAGAGTTATGCTCAACCCTGATATTTATTTTGGATTCTTTATGTTGCTGCTAGTATGGTTTGCAGACTTTACAGATTTCAGAAACTTGAAAACTTGTTTATTTTTTATAACAAGTTTTTGTGTGAAAATGTGTTTTCTGTTCAGAAACTTTAGAAACTTGAAATGCGCACTTTAAAAAAATGTTAAAAATTGAGTTTATTTTAATAATTCAGTTTAAATACCTGTAGAATTTTGAAAAAAAAAATACGTGAAGGCTACTGTATCTGTACCTCTACCTCATCTGTTATGATACATTGCTGCACTAAAACAGCAATTCTCATTTGTGAAAGTTTTATTTAATGTCACTTGGAAATAAAGTTGGAAAAAGTAAGCAATGATATTATTTTGTTTTATTTTTCAAAGAATAACTGAAAACATGCATACATACTAAGTTAATTGTGGTATATCATGATACATATCGTTATTGTGATATGAAAAAGTCCATATCGTGATATATGATTTTTTCCATATCGCCCAGCACTACCCTCTGTCATGATATGTATCGTATCACCAAATTCTTGCCAACACACAGCCATAGTTCACACCTCACCGAACAAACAGGACTTTCTAGGCAAAGGAACTAGAGTGCAACTAAAGCGGACTAAACAGGGCTGGTGTAAACACACCCTGACTCCAAATTCTGATGATACTCTAAACACACAGCTGCTTATTTCCTCTTCAGTAAATATAATGCCACAGATGACTTTTCAGATACTCTGACAGATGCATGCTGTTTTTGAACTGACAGAGGGACACCCATCTTTTTCACCCATGAAGAAGGAACCTGCCCCTGCTGGTGGAAAGGAAAGGCAGACGAGTCCTGTTGCTGCTGCGGCCTCGCAGCATCAGGGAGGACTCTCAGAGGTTTGATAAAAAGCAACTTTAGTGAGGCAAGCGGAGGGAAAAATAAGACCATTAAAATGAGTTCTAAAGGACGTTAGAGCAGATCTTTGATGAACAAGGTGCAACTATGGGTTAGAGGTCCAGAACGAGGAGAACATGGTCAGGTAGGTGGATGATGAAGAAGCCCAGTAAAGTGAAAAATGTTGACAGAAGAGCGAGATTGTTCGACAAGACCCAGGACTCAGGTGCTGACCAGATCCAGTAAGAACAGAGAAACTCCAGAAAAGATTGTCAATCTGAACCAATTAGACTTGGTCATGCTCTGGTCAATACATTGGTCAGAGATATACAGTAAATACTTGAAATGAGGAGTAGGCATAACAGCGGTGATAGAACAGGGCCAGAATAGTCTGGATATGCTGCAGAAGAGAACACGGTTAATCTGGATGCAAAGTTTAAGTGAAACTGGACTAAAGACAAAACTTTGAAATGAAAGGTAGTTGTGATTTTTCATTTCTGTTGAATATAATGAAGACAATAATAATCTGAAGACCCACATACTGCAGCTTCATGGGCGGGGTCATGTCATCATCAGCTCAAGTGCAGCATAATGTCGAACACAGCGGCTGCATGCCATTTGCAGCGCGGGTGACAAATTGCCTGTGGTTTGCATTTCAAGCATCTTATCAGCCAAAGACTGATTTGCTGATTTAGTTGCTGAATCAGAGCTGATTCAGCAACTGAATGAGAGGACTGATGTAAACAAAACAAAGTTGTTTTGCTTCCAGGACACAAACATGACTAATAATAATAATAATAATAATAATAATAATAATAATAATAATAATAATGTGGATTAAATGAACATGATAGATTAAAGGATCTTTAGTCCCTGTTCCACACTAATGTCAGATGTTGAAAGACACTAGATCACACTGAAAGCTCATTCCTGATTTAAGGTGAAACATCAGCAAACACTTTGCTCCATATTCAACAGGGAGCTTCTATCTACTCTGTTCATCAATTCCACCCACAGCATCGCCCAGTTGACTCAGTGTCCTCTGTTTCAAACCACAGGCTAATGTAATCATTTGTGTTCTGTAGGTGGGACAATCATGTGTCACTTCATTCAGTCCTTTGAGTTTCTACAACTCACTGTCTAATGTATAAAACCAAAGATGTCAGCGGCAACCCTGGTTTATACTGGTTCTGCTGGGATTTCTTCAGTCATTTAAACAAAAAGTTTACAGCTGGATGTCTGGACTTTAGTTTTAGCCATCTGATGACCAAATGGTTTTATAAGGGAAGTGGGAAAACTGCTGACAGAAAGCAATTCATTAAAAAAATACTGTCATTGATGTTTTTTTATTATTTAGAACTGCTCTCATTTCTGTAATAACCAATAAACTGATTATTCTGAATTAAATGTCCTCAGATGTTGTATGAATATTTTTACCTAAATTTTCCGTAAACACAGTAATCGTAATGTTGTCTTTTAATTCTAGCCCCACTTCAACAAGCTGAACAACTCCTCAGTCAATACAAGTTTACTAAAACTGATTCATTCAAAAGGAACTCGTACTTACTGAGTTAGAAAATATGCCGAAACGACTACACAGATGGTGAAAAAAGTGTAAACTGAATTTGATTTGTGTCAGGTCTATGTACCTGTCGAAAACTGCGCATACATGAAATTTCACCGAATGTGAATGGAGTTCTGCGAACAAATGATTGCATGCTAACACCGTAGCTGCAGTTTTAGGTCTAACGAAACAATGCCTGAATATCCTGCTAACATACATATTATCAAAACAGTCAGACATAGCTGTGAGATTCCTCTTTTTAAAATAAACTCACCACATTTATATTCCTGTGTATAGCAGCTGGATACCAACACAACACCAAACCAAGCGTGGTACCAAACTTTGGCTTGCGGTATGACGTCACGCGTACGGTTGGCCTGCTGTTTCTTCTTCTTGAGTTTTTCTTTTGGCAGTTGGCAAACCCTGTTTGGCGCATTACCGCCACCGAATGTTATGGAGTGTGGGTTGAATTTACATGCCCCTCATTTTTTAAACACAATAATTTTATAAATTCTTTTAACACTTAACATGAAACAATGCTATAAAACAACACATAAAACAATTTACAGTTCATTTTAACAGAACACAGAAACATTATTTTAACACCTAATTTTACCAAATTTTCCTCTGGGATCAATAAAGTATTTTTGAATTGAATTGGAATTCAAACACACACCAGGCTCGCCAGCACAATACAAAGGTTTGTGCTCAGAATTGAAAAGCATCCAATATTGTGAAAAGCAAAGTGTTTTCAAAATGATGAAAGGACTATAAAATAATAAATGAAAATAAAATTCGGAAGAAATGTAAAACAGGGAAACAAACTGTGAGTGATGTATTGTTTACACTGTTGAGTTTTTACCACTTTAAAATAAACAATTTCTGCTTGTTTAGCTATAATAAACAAATGTAAACATAAATAAAAAAAACTATTAAATCACATATAAAAACGTTAACCTATTTCCATTAAGTGAAAAAATAAAATACAGCCCAAAAACCTATACACTGCTTTTTATTCTTTTTTTTTCCTATGTGGCACACAAATAATCAATTCAGTAGTTACAATCAATTTATTGTCATTGTACGGAGCACAATGAAATTACATTTAAGAACACCCATTCAAGAAGACACACACATAACAAAAACATGGGGAAACAGGTGATCAGGTCAAGCTGCAACCACCAGGGTTATTCAGTAAATTTCAGACACTTCTTGTTTCAAGTGTACAAAGCTCACCACTCCATGAGACTATTTTATTTTTCCAACCTCATTGGCAAGACCAAAGATACAATAAAGGATTTTAGAAATACTTTTGCTTCATACAGATAAGAACAGACCAACAGACGGTCAGTCAATTGAAGACCCTCTTGATCTAAGAGGGTCTTCAGTTGACTGACAAATTGATGGCCTGATGTCTGCGAGACCAGATGCAGGATGCAGAAATAAAAGCTGGGTTGTAGGAATAAAAAAAAACTCTTTAATATACATTTTTTCAATCTTCTTAAACCTTCAGTAATCTTTACACAAGTCAACTGAAGTTGAATGGGCTCGAAATAGATCATAAAAAAGTACATAAAATAAAACTACAATTTATGTTTCTCATCTGCTACTGCAGCATTCCATAAAGTATGACCCTGAAAACCTCAGCATCAGATCAGTACTGACTGAAACTCTGACCGTGTTCCAGCAAAAGTGGCTGAGGACTACACCTAAGTCAAGGTTTCAGGGACAGCAGTTGAAAACTAGACCATGGTCTACATGTTCTGAATGTCGTGGTTCAGGACTGCACTGATATTTTTAGGTTCAAAGTGTGACAGAATAGAGTTCAGACATGGCACCCCCCTCCCTTTTACTTTATTTTATTTTGTTGAAAGACTGATTATGGCATTTTGGGAAATATTCTGTTGATAATGGTTCAAGTTCCAATTCTCCCACTTACATTTTAGTTATTGCAGAAGGCCTGTACTGGTAAAGGTTCGCCACAAGGTGGCATATAGAAGACGTGCGCTCCTGACTCGGCAGGCCGGCAGCAGTTCAGTGCTGCGTCGGCTGCGGAGGAATGGAGATCATCATTGTTGTTCTTCTGTTTGTTAACAGGTAAATGTGCACAACTGACACAAATATAGCAAGATATGAGATCGCTGAGAGTTCTGTGATGATGAGGGGAAAGTTGGCBGTTTATTCCCATGGTTGTAGTGTTAAAATGTTAGTTAATATGATTGGCTGGAGCAAGCTAGTAGCTAAGCTAACTTTTACACGTGGTGACAGGACTTGCAGGACAATGCTGCTGTAATTTTGTGTGTGCTAGCAGAAATAAGATGTAACTGGATAAATGTCTATTAGAGTAAACTTATAAATGTTATTGAATGAGCAGCAGTTCAGTGCTGTGTCGGCTGTGGAGGAATGGAGAYGCTCATTGTTGCTCTTCTGTTTGTTAACAGCTATCAACAATAAAATGAACCCGCAATGAACACACTGAGTCTTAATTCAAGTGTGCAACAAATTTGGTGGCCCGTACGGGGATCAACTGTGCTTTAAGGAAGACAGAGTGAGACTTCAGAGTCAGCACGCCAGTAATGGAGTTGGAGCAACTACAGGACCAGCTGAGTGAGGYCCTGGTGCAGTTGAAAGTGGACCAACTACAAGAGGTGTGTTTTTATGCAAAGGTCTCTGCTGAAAATCAGACCAAAAAGCATACGCTAATCAGACTATTAAGTGCAGCTKCTGATGATGCTATTGAGAATGAAGAAGAAGAAGTGGCTCTGGAATTTCTCAACAGACTAATATCAAAAGCTAAAGAAGTRAGAAAACATGAGATCTCACAGAAAGATGATGAAACTGTTGACAGTGATGTTGCTGCTCTGGCGAGTTTGCAAGAACAATATGAAGCCTTACAGCTAAGTTTTCAAGCTTCAACCAAGAAGTTAGAGGAAGAAATGACAAAGTTGGAAAACAAAGTGAAAATTCAGGGGCCAGATAAGCTTCCGAAACGACCAGTGAACCCTTTTGCAGCTAGCACACCTGAGGTTACTATAAGAAGAGATTTTAAAATTAATGGCCAAATTGGTGAAAGGGGTCAGAAAGACAAACTTTCCTATTCAAATCTGATGCATCAGATTGATATGGGGCTGAAAAGAAATCACAGTGAAGGCGAGATCATTGAGGCTGTGGTCAGAGCTATCAGTCCAGGTTTACCCCTTCGTGATATGCTGGAGATAAAAACAGACCTCACTATTGCACAGCTGAGGACAATATTAAAAAGGAAGACAGCTCCACTGATCTGTATCATCGCCTAATCAACATTACACAAGATAGTAATGAGTCTCCTCAGAACTTCTTATTCAGGGCAATAGAGTTAAAAGAAAGACTGCTTGCTGCATCCAGAGAACCAGGCTCTGATGAGGACTATGGTCCAGAACTGATTCAAAAGAAGTTCCTAAGAGCTGTGGGAACAGGGCTTATTAATGACAATGTGAAACACCAGCTCAAGAACTTCCTGGATGATCAGAGAGTCACAGATGATGTGCTAATAGCAAAGACAAATGAGGCAGCAAGCATGGAATGGGAGAGGCTGCAGAAGTTTAGGAGAAGCAGTAAGGATCTGAAAGTGAAGGAAGTAAGGGCGGAACCACAGCCAGCTTCAAAGACAACMGTTGGAGCAATATGGGAACAAGAACAGCCATCATTCTCAGGGATGARAGCTAAAACCATGAAAACTCAATCGTCCGCCTCTCACGCAGAATCCGAACTCCTGGATGCCATCAGACAACTTAAGGGTGAAATGCAAGACATCAGAAAACTAGTCAATGACTCTTGCATGTCTGCTTTCAAGTCAAGACCAAACAGAAAACGTGGTTGCAAAAATTGTCAAGACAATAATAAAGGAGAGATCTGTGACCACTGCTTCAAATGTGAACAAAGTGGACATCTATCACGTGGGTGCAGATTTATGAARAACACATCAGAGAACACTGGAGAAGGGGGTATGTCAGTGAGCAGTGTAACATCAATACGACCGACAGGAGATGATAAGAATGGAAAGGAGCTCACTGGAGGTGGTCCCCAGCTAATCACTGACAGCACACACAACTTAGATGAAAGAAACATGTGTGAAGTTGGACAAACACCATCTCGGGTGAATGAGATGGTTGGTGTTAACCTCCTCTCCCCTTCCCAAAGAGACAAACTGCTAAACCTGATTGGAAAGAAGTGTACCATTACCTGCTTACTGGATGGAGTGGAAACCAAGGCTCTGTGGGATACTGGCTCACAGGTATGTCTCATGAGTGAAAAATGGAGAAAACAGAACATTCCACATGTTGCTATCAGAAGCCTCAATGAAATTATTGGGCCTGGAATATTAGATGGGAGAGCAGTGAATAAGACACCAATCCCTTTTACTGGATGGGTGGAGGTCAAATTCAAATTACCATCTGTTAGTCCCACACAGCTGGAGCTCTGGGTGCCAGTTCTGGTGGCTGAAGAGGATGGAGTGGGAGACGAGCCAATCATTGGGTTTAATGTAATTGAATATATGTTAAAAATGGGTGTGGAGTCCCCTCCCCTCGTCACAGAGGCTGTCAGTACAGCATTTTCCATTGAGTGTAAGAAAGCAGAGGTACTCCTAAAAGTTATGAAAAATGTAAATGATGCACAGCGAGCAGGCACTGTGAAAGTAAGCAGAGAGAACATCATCATTCCAGCTGGCCAAGTGAAGATGGTGAAGTGCAGCGCACGAGCCAGTCCACTCACAGGCCAACAAGGAGTCCTGTTTGAACCTCTTTCACCGTCACAACTACCAGAAGGGTTAAGGGTCAAAGAAGGAATAGTGTGCYTACAACGTGGTTCCTGGTCCCGCCTCAAGATCCCTGTTAACAATGATACTGCACATGACATCCTTTTACCCTCCAAAAGTAAACWAGGCCAAATCCAGGCAGTAAAGACTATGTATGTGGTACCAACAGAATCAGTACAAAAAACAAACAAACAGACACACACCCCGAATTGTGAAAAAAGCAACTCAACAGGAGCAGAGAGTGAAGAGAAAGGAAAAGAGAACCAACAAGGAGTGGAAAGTGAAGGTAGTTGGGATCCACCAGTCCCCATCAGCCACCTTTCCCCAGCACAGCAACAACTGGTGAAACAACTGCTGTGAGAGGAGTGTGCAGCCTTCTCCCRTGATGATTATGATGTTGGAACCATCCCCTCACTGCAGCTCAAAATCCACCTGCAGGATCCCACTCCAGTAACTAAGACATATGTATCTGTAACCCACATAAAATGGGGATGTCTCTTTAAGAAATGGAGGTTAGGGAAGCTAGGTGGTCTACCTAGCCAATAGAAAGTTTAGTTTCCAGTGTGTTTAAACCAATCAGAATTCAGATTGCCGCTGTAAGTCCCGCCCTCCTGCCCCGTGTCTACAGCATTGTGTGTGTGTGAGCAAGAGAGATCCACCATGAGAAGGAAACGGTTAAGCCATGCAGCGTGAGAGTCTGTGTGTTAAGACTGTTATAGTACTGGATACGAACTCTAAACAAACCCTTTCTCAGATAGAATGGCTGTTTATCATCYGACTTCTAAGCTGGAAGTTGTGAAGTGAAAAAAAAAGGGTCTGAACTTCAGTTTTTCTGCCGAGCACTGTTAGAGCTGACTCGTTAGCCTAGTTAGCTCTTATTGGCTACTGGTCTTCTCGAAGTTCGTCTCGTTCTCTGTTCAGCTGAAGGTAAAGCTTAAATTATAGTWTATTCTTACTTTGTTCACTATGAAAGCTCATATTATTGAGGTGAAAGCATGGAAAATATGCCTTGTTACATTATCTAGTGCCCCACGGGTCCGGACTGAGAGCCACCATATTGTGTCCCAAACGTGTCGCACTGAGATCGGTGAGCATATTCTGTGCCTTTCAATTGGGTTTTTGTTCTGTTTATCACATTTTTGTTGAATAATAGTGTTTATCTGAACTATTTAATTATTCAAATGTAAACTTTTACTGATTTTGGGTCAAATGTAATGTTTAATATTGTGTTAAAAAATTCTTTTGCAATTTACAGAAAAAGTAAATTGACAATGTAGTGAAATACTGCATTGGGGTAAAAGGGAATTGTTT